CCCCCCCGTGCGGAAAATAAATGCAGTCTGCCAATCGTTGTTTGAAAATGGGGTATTTTTGCTTTTGTTGTCGCCAATCGTGGGAAAAGAGGACTCTACAGCATTGAACAAAAAATAACTATTTACTACTTATTTTTAGTTCAATGCTCTACAAGAAATATGGCGCGAACGTGACGTAAACAAGCCAGCTTTTCTAACGTATTGTTCATGATTGTATCATTTGTTTTTTATAGAATTCGACTTACTCGAGCTTATTGGAGCAAAAAATGAATCTATTAATGATGGCGATGTTGTCATTGTTGATCATGATTTAGAAATGAGGAAACTCAAATGGGCTATTCCAATTATTATCGGCACCCCCCCCCCCCCTGTTGAGGAACATTGGAATTTCCAGGGAAGAGGTGCATTAACTTTCAAATTTCCAGGAGAGGGGGTACATTAATCTTGTAATTTGCAGGGGAGGGGGTGCATTAACCCTGGAATATCCAGGAAAGGGGGATCCAGGCTCTGCAATTCCAAGGGGAAGAGTAATTTTCACCTGGAATTTCCAGAAGGGGAGTCAATTAAATGGGAGGGAAATTCCATGGGAGGACATATATTAGAGGATGATGAAAATGAGCTGATTTTAACCTGCAAAATACAGAGTTATCTACTATAAATTAATATAATGTGTTTCAATACTAGAATTTTGATGTTAATTACCAGGTAAATCTGTCAATTTTGATAAAAATTTTGGAAGGAAATTTTGCTGAAAAAAGGAAATTTCGGGTTATTAAAAGGAAATTATTTTTTGTAGTGGAAACACTGGGTTTGTTGACAGCGTTTCGAGATTTGTTGACAGCGTTTCGAGATTTGTTGACAGCGTTTCGGGTTTTGTTGATTGAAATTTTGCTTGCTTGAATCTGGCACAAATTTTAAGGTTGATCTTGAAGCCAGGAAACTCGTGTTGGTTGTGAAACAAAAATCGGTGTTGACATAGAAGCCTTTTTTAACAGTTGAATTTGGAACGGAATTATTGTTGACGTTGAATCGGTTTGTTGAATGTATGATAAAAACGCGGTTGACGTTGAATCGGTTTGTTGAATGTATGATAAAAACGCGGTTGATGTTGAATCGGTTTGTTGAATGTATGATAAAAACGCGGTTGATGTTGATCGGCGTTTGTTGAAACTGGTAGAATTTTAATGCTTGAATTTTGCACCAAATCGCTTTCCATAACGGACTTGTACCGCATCTTTATTAAAAGTTAATATATACAGACAACAACAATCCCCACTCTAGGTTGCAAAAGGAAGCCTGATTACGTGCACAAGTAATTAACAGTCCGTCTGTCCGCGTTTGTTTTTAAAACGCGGTGCTGAAAGCACCATTGCTATAAACATCTGAAATGAACACTATATAAAACTCATCGCCACACAAACAAATAAACTCAAGCCTTCATGTATATCACCAGAAAGAAATAAAACCATTCTTACTTGATTTATTCTTTGATATTCGTTTGCAATCCAACATATAAACTCGTATGATCTCGTATTAAAAGTTTAATTAAACTGCTTACACAAATGCACAATACAAAATAAAGTTTGACCGCCCCCCTCGTTAACAAAAACTTCCTGAAGCTTAATTATTCCTCCCGGAAATCATCTTAACCTTTGTCTTAACAGACAGAAAGACAGACAGACACAAATCGAGATCTCGACAATACATAGATCGCGCGAAAGACTGGGTCGAGTGGACTCTGGAGAAACCACCGCGTGTCAAGAATAGGGTGCTGCCTTCGGCAGCAATGACTTATGATATTCCAGTAGTGATGAATAACCAATTCATAACTCTTGCTCATTCATACACATGCCTTGGGGTTAAACTTGATGAAAACCTTAATTGGCATGAGCATGTTGAAATGATTTGTAAGAAAGTTGGGGCCGGCATAGGAGCAATGCAACGAATTAAGCCATATGTTCCTATAAATACCCTGCATACCATTTACAGAGCTTTGATAGAACCGTATTTTGATTATTGTAGTCCATTATGGGACGTCTGTAACCAACAGCTGAAAGATAAGCTTCAAAAGTTCCAAAACCGTGCAGCGAGAATTATAACCGGCGCCAGCTATGAAATAAGGTCTGCTGATGTTCTTCGATCCCTTGCTTGGGAAAATTTAGAGATAAGACAACGTACAACTAAATCCACATTAATGTATAAAGTCCTGAATGATTGCGCTGGGCCGAACTTGAAGGATGCTCTAACGAGAATGGACCTTGTTCAAACCAGTTATAATCTTCGCAATACTTATACTGACCTTACCCTTGCTAAGCCAAAACGAGAATTTCTAAAAAAAAGCTTTAAGTATAGCGGAGCTAAATTGTGGAATAGTCTTCCCGGATGCGAAGCTAGCGCAATCAATTTATTCTTTTAAAAACTGCCTGAAAGATTCACGCTAACATCTTCTAATACACTGTATATGCATGCTTTAGAAATATGGGTCACACCGTTTGGAACTTAATTCTTGTATTGTAAATAGTTGTATATAATTCTTTATTCTTTTCTATATCATATTTGTAACTTTTAATAGTAACAGACGTCCCTCGTTAAAATCAACAAATCGTTGACGAGGCTAACGTCTTTAAATAAAGTTTACATACATACATACACCGGACCGACGCCGCAATTCGACAAAGCGGCGCGACTACAGTATTTTCACTGACCGATAACTTTGATCCTGATTTAAGTTTCCTTTCAAAAACTGAAAAATCGCGTTGCGTTGTCGAATCGCCGTGGCAATTTTCCGTTTCGTAAACCGCCAGGGTCACCAGTAACAATCAGTGTCACCACTTTGATACTCAACAAGCGGAAACACGCGTTTAATTAAACGCACGTACACGTGCTGTGCTAGCATCTGTAGTAATTTTGTATCGAGTATCGTTTGCTTGGTGTCTTATTAAATTTTGTTTTCAAATTAACATTGTTGACATCTTGAAATTCTGAAATTCATCTAAACTTTTGGCTGATACAGTAGGTCCTGTGTGGTGGCACGTAAATTGAAATTATGTTTCTCCGACGCGCAGAAATTTTTATTCCAGTAGGCGCAGTTTTCCGGCAATATGTGTCATATGTTACATATAGTATACAAAATAAAGCACATTTTAGACTTAATAAAGTTTTTATAAAAACAACTAATTACCCAAACAGAATTTGGCAAGTTAATTATTAACTGTGTTTAACTGACACGGCAAAATATTAAATGATAGCTGACAAACAAGCTAAATTTTAACTGACAACTGACATGCACAACCCCCATTCAGACCCCCTTTCTAATGCCTTTACGCGAAGTCTCGCCGCGAAGATCTTCTTTCTCTACTTCAGATAAGTGAGATAACGCATTTTAAAACTGGCAACAGTCGATATCATTGACAGCCGTATTAAAAAGCTCGTCAAAGTCCTGAACCGCCGCCATACAGAATTCTTTAAATTAAACTCCAACATCTTCGCTTACACCAAATCTGCGCCGACGATTTTCAGTTGTTAGAAAATAATAAAAAATATGCTAAAGTATTAAGTAATTTGGGTTACAAAGTATCCGTGAATGAAAACTAAACTCATACCGCCTCGCCGCCGAATTGCGCCCCGTTGGCTTTAATAAAGCGTGGGCTTTTAATGTTGTCCCGTTTCCCGTATGATGCATGCATTTTCAAGTCTATTAATTCCAAAAACTTGCGCGTTGGAACAAAATTCTATAGACGCTAATGTCTAATTGAAATTAATAAAATTATTAACTTCTTATTAACCGGTTAGCGCAAGGTTAGCGCAAGGTCATTACAGAGAAATATTGGACCGAGGTTTTTTGGACAGACCTAGCCCGTCCGGTATTTCTGCGAGGTTAATAATATGACATTTATAGGCGTTTATACTTGAAACAAACAAGAAACGCATAATTTGAAATGCATATTAGTAGCGTGGTACACATTTGGTCGAAGAAAACAAAAAATACCAATGTATTCCTTCCTTGCACTTATAACTGACCATTCGCAGATCTCCTATTAATAGCAGCAAATTAAATTATAATTTTCAAATTTTCAATTAGTTTGTTGTTTTGTTTTAAAATGCATGCGTTTGTCAGTTACGTAATGGACCGCGGGTTATTACGGGAAAATAATGGACCGCTGAAACTGCTCTGCATGCAGCCAATCACAGTCAGCCATTTCACCGGAAGTGATGCTTGCCATATGTATAATAAATGTTATTAAAATCAGATATGTGCACAGCGCTGTTATACATCTATAATATATCAGCTATATAATAAGACAACTGATTCGCAGTGTATACGGTGTGTTGATCGTCTGTATTATTCCAAACAAATGCGTTTTCCAACAAGCACACTAATATCCCCGTCTTATCAGTTTAAGTATAAATTAGTTTTATAAATTAGCACGATTCCCAGATTCCATGATTCCTGGATTCCCGATTCTCGGGTTCCCCGATTCTCGGATTCCCCGATTCTCGGATTCCCTGATTCTTGGATTCCCCGATTCTCGGATTCCCCGATTCTCGGATTCCCCATTCCATGTTTTAAAGTAGCCAATAACTCTAAAGTGGTGTACACACTATACGTTTTGTTGAAGATATAACAACAATATAGATTTCTTTTTGATATTTTGTTATACTTGTTGCTTTTGGTGATAAGTAGTTGATAAATCATGTCCAGCAAGACTAAGCCATTATACGCAGAAGTTGTTGCCGGAGTTCGAAGGTTAGTAAAACTAAAATGCGTCGGTATAAATAAATATTTAGTTCATGTTTCCATTTATAATTCACTCTTAGCTTTTCGGTATTAGATCAGGAAAGGGGAAAACGTGACTCGACTCAGGGTTATATTAAAGTAAGAGACACGGCTAAGTGCATGAATTTCGACGCTGAATTCAATCAGACATTTCAATTTTTCATTATTAAATGTATTAAATTAAAATTAATTAAATGACATTGAAGTTACGACATTGAAGTTACCTTCATAACTTCATTCACGTTTGTGAATTGTGGTTGATGTTCAAGCCGCTTGAACATCAACCACAATTCACAAACATGAATGAAGTTATGAAGGTAACTTCATCAAGCGGATATTTTTAGTATGCAGTGTATTTGCATATTCGCGTACGTATTCGCAGCGTATACAGGCTGTCCCCCCAAAACTATTGAAATAACGTATTGTTAAATTTTGTGCCCTAGCACTAAGCGCTGAACGCAAAGATGCGTAAATATTGACTTATTAAGAAATATTGACTAATATTGACTAGAAATTAAAATATGATTTTCAAGGGTCTGTTTATGAATATATATACATTGTTTAGAAATACAAACACTTACTATCTATTTACAACAATTTTAAGGCCTGTTTTATACGTCGAATTTCGGTCGCGTCCAATGCAATTCAAACAATATGCGATTCTTTTCGATTTTTCTAATATCTCGGCAAGTATTTACCCCATGTGCCGGTGTAGGGGGTCAAGTGTCGTCAAAACATTACACAAACCGAAACAATAATACATTTACTCAGTACTCACCGTTTGGCCAAACATTCTAAATTTCATATCGAGAAAATCTTGAATACCTCTTGAACTCTTCGGAATTCCCAACAAGTCAATCCGAGTGAAATGTTCCTTGTATTCAAGCGCTTTCGTGTACAAAATTTCGTTGGAATATGACAGACCTCTCAACTCTCACGCATTCGGCGTGAGTCTCACGCAATTCGCTTCACTCTCACGCCACGTTTAGTAAATCTCACGCATATGGCAGTTTCATAGTATTTTTTTCAATAATATAATATTGTATTCTTAAATGCACATTAATCATTTAATATACGGATCGCAAATCGAATATATAATCACGTGTTATTGTTCCCTCGTGTTCCTGCATATTTGCCTGCAACAAAATAGTACGCACATGTAAATACGGCGGACAAAAGGCAGAATCAGTCGGAGCAGAATTCTATATGCAGGGCCGTAGCAACCGGGGGCTGGAAATCATTCTTTTTTCAAAATCATGCAGACCTTTATCAATTTTAAGCTTTATTAGTTTTAAGCGGCTACATTATCCATGACAAACTGCA